ATACAGGAATAAAAATTTCATTCTTTATTGACATTTTGGTGTACTTATCACCAAAATATTCTCACTATTAATACCTTAATTTTTAAGATTAAATCCTTGGTTTGTAATAAAATACTCTATATATACCTTAATTAAACAATTAACAGAATGTTTGGTTAATCTTTAATTATTTATAGTTTTATTTTATATAAGAAAATTAATTTAATCACCATTTTGAAAATTTTAAATAGATTTTACTGAATAATAAATGTTTTTATTACAATTCAACAAATCACAATTATATTTAAAGTACAATAGAATATTAATTTTTAATAAAATCTTATTTAGGAATATCATAGAAAAATATATTTTCAAATACATTAACTTTTGGTAAATTTATTTAACTTTCTGTTTGCGAGAGAAGCCGTTCGGTTGGTTCCCCACAAGTAATAACATGACCACTACTACTGGTATAAGCCATACATTCATTCTGATTAGGAATAGAGACCATACGGGAAATGTCAACACGAATGAGCCGGTCAAGTGCTCCATAAACCGAGATTTATGTTTGTAGTGAACGTCACCACATCTGGTCTGTCGCTTCTTCACCATATCATCCGATGCTTTCTTCAGATCATAAGCCCATCCAATGGACGCAAACGCGTCGATGAAAGCCGTCGCAGGATTGAAGGCATCCATCCAACCCAACTCAGAGGCCGAGTAATCCCTAAACCCAGACATTCATTACAAATACACATTATAAGTATATGAAGGTCTATTACCAGGGGAATGTATGGTGATAATTATGAAAGCCTTCGCCTATTAAATAGTGTCTCATATCCGCCTCAACCGGTTCTATACTACCATCGTATGGCTATTCAAACATTTCAAATAATAAACTCAAAATTTATTGACATTTTAGGCAAACTGAGCTTGACACCTTCATTCCATACATATGAGCAGCACTATTAACACACCAAGTTAAATTGACTGTTACGGTGTACCGGAGCATAACACAGACAAACCAGGCATTCCAAAGGGACTCACCCCATAGATAATAGGGTATATATGTGGGAACCGCTCCCCATATTAATATAACCAGCGGTATGTAAAAAGCTCTTTGAAACTTGACCAGTGGGTCGTTAACCAGGTCTGACATATCCATAGTCTTTCCCTTTTCCCTAACGTCGGGATGTTTTTTGCATAAAAGCCAACCCATGTGTGAGAAAAAGAAACCCCGACTGGAGTTGTGTGGGTCGGCGTCGGTGTCCGAGTACTTGTGGTGCAGGCGATGGTCGCGACTCCATTCAAATATGTCGTTCTGGAGGGCCATTGTCTGCAACACC